CTTTGGGGGTCTCTAGAACAAGGCCTATAGTATAATGGGGTCTATATTGGGGTACCCTAATTTTGGGAAACTACCACATGAGGACCCTATGGCTATCATCTGACTCTAAGATGGTTTAGGGTTTAGGGTCGACTACGGGGAACTATGAATCCTAGTAAAATCATATTTTTTTGCTGTTCCCAATTCCTAAGGATTGTAGTAAGCAAAAAGAAAAGTTGTTTCCAAGTACCCCTAAGTCGAATGAGCGGCGGGGAAGCCCCAAGCTTTTTTTTTCGTATAGTGAAGGATGTTGAACGTTATGGGTCCTACTGCTTATGCCAAAAATCCTGCATGACCCCTAGCACCTCATACCTTAAAAAATGCGGTATTCCAGGATACGAAAGTCATGGATGGCTTTTAGTATCAACAGTTTGGGTGGGCTGTCGTGGTGAAGATCGCGGTATTGGAGGAGTGACCCTGCTTTTGACAGAGAATTCTACCACTGAGATTGGATTTGGGGCGCGCGATCGTGGATGGGAGCAGGATTCGGTAAGTTTGAAATCCCAAACCCACAGCTGTGTGGTCTGGTGCGTCTGCAAAGTTCCAGTGCAGTGGAGGAAAGACCAAACAGTCAACAAGCATGAGATGTGCAGACAGCATCTTTGCCTTTCAGTACCACGCTCTTGCTCCTTGGACTATACCGCCCAACTATGACCAAGTGGATTGGGATCCCAAGTGCAATCGCTTCAATGTAACGGCTGGCTTCGCCTGAGATGTCATTCAGCACTCAGCGAACCAATTAACGATGAGAGGTTCCCCAAACCCTAGACCCCTAAACCCTAGACCCCTAAACCAAGGTTCTCAGCATAGTGGAGTGATTTTTTGGCATATATAAAGGGGGGCTGGGGGAGTCCTTGAGATCTTTTCCATTGGGGTTTAGGGTTTAGAGTTGAAGGTTTAGGGGTTTAGGGTCTAGGGTTTCAGATTCAAGGTTTGGGGTTTGACGTTTAGGGTCTAGGACCCTCTCGTCCGGGAGATGGGATGTGACCATCTCATGATGGGAGGAAGGAACGCCAGGCCACGAACAAACCTGCCCTCACGAAACCCTAGACTAGGTTCCCCAGTAACCCCTTACTAATACGGGTACGCTTTTTCCTAAGGTTCAATTTTATTGAGGGGAAAAGGGTAATTATAGTCCCCAAATCCCACAATAGCGCATGTAGGACCCCTTAATAATCTCCATGAAACCCCCCAAACCCTCCTGCTTAATCCCCATTTGGGAGTCACAACTGCAGCCAAACTACGCGCCCGTGTAGAACGTCGCGCTGCGCTCGCCATGACGGCGTGAATTCGCGGAGCTTGGTGTGGGGTGGGTGCAAAGGGCCAACGAGGGCAACTGTCGCAAAGACGCAAGTTATGAGCAGCTATCGCATCAAGAGTCAAGAAAAAGATGGCAGTATTGCATTTGAAGCAGACGTCCTGCAGGGGCTTTTGTGCTTGCTGAATGCCCTACGAGTTTGACTTCTTACGTCTTTTTGTCAGCGGCTGGGGTGGCTGTTAGCAAGCAACTTCTTGACAGAGAGGTGCATGAATGTATAATATGGAGCCGCGGCGCCAGCGATTCCAGACGAGACCTTGCAATTCACCTGCCTTCGCGGGCCCCTTACTCTTCTCCAAAGGATCGCTCTAAAGTATATAGTTGGGCCCTAAAAATACTTACCTATACGGGAACCCTTCTGGGCCCTGAGTATTTACTGTACCTGCATGGACCCTGTGATCATCATACTTAGCATCCTAACGACAATGTCAAGTGCCTCCCAAGGGGAGCCAGGTCTTGTGGATTGCCGGTGTGACTTCAGGAGAAGATCCTACCCTTTTAGGAAGACCACAAGGGCCATCTTCAATATTGCTACATATCATGGAGCGTCCGGGCTTGTGCAGACAGCTTACCACATAGTCATGCGAGGGCTTATTCGAGGAGATGTGATTGTCGCTGGAATGTTGGTTTTGAAGCTGGGAGTCCCGGCAAGTATTACATGTACTGGTAACTAGGCGAAGTTGTGACCGTTTCGCCTGCAGAGATCTCTATGGACCAACCACATCCTTCTGCCCCACCATGCACATTCTCCACCCTCCGGCCTTTGACCTAAAAGGCTTAAATCCGCAGTAGGGGTGATGATCTCCTTAAAACAGGTCACGATACCAAGGTGTTATGTGCAAAAATCCTTTTGGATGGGAACACTGCTTACTCCTAGTAGGGTGCAGGGTTTAGGGCTAGGTGTATTGCGAAACTGGTTCTAAGTCCCTACCCAGGTTTAGGGTAGCACGACCCATACCGTGGTAAACCCTAAACCCATAAACCTTCGACCATGAAGCTTGTTTTCTAAGGTCAAACCATGCACCCATGGTACTGACTCTAAATTATTCCTGTGCTGCTTATACTAGGGTTTAGGCTTCAGGGTGCCTATAGACCCAGTAGTGTCTGCGCTAGATATCCCTGAGAACCCCCAAAGCCCAAACCCCAAACCCCCACACCCTAAGCCCCGAAACCCTACGCCCCGAAACCCCCCTAAACCCTAAACTCATTTCAGTGGCCCACACTTCCAACATTAGACTGTGAGTTGATAGGGATGCCCCGATGATCAGCACCCCCTTTGGGTTGTCGCAGTCCATACTAAGCCTTGTCTGAAACCCCAACATACCTTAAACCTAAATCGTACAGCCTAAACCCTAAACCCTAAACCTTACAGCCTAAACCCTAAACCCTAAGTCCCCTGAGCCCTTTCAGGGTTCATTCCTCTGGGGTACTGGCAGTGTATGTGAGGCGAAATCAAGGGATGCTTAAGTGGATAGAATATGGGCAATATGGGGGTCTTATTATAATATACCCAAAGCCATATTCGATCTACTTGAGGGGGACTGTAAACCCTAAACTTCTAGAGTCTAGGTTAGGGATTAGGGTTTGGATTTGGGGTTTAGGGCACTAAGGACCATCCAGCGACAGGCTCTCCAACAAGTCAACCCTGGCCCGTGAATCAAAGAACTTAATGTAGCAGCCTAGATGATGAAATTATGTCCAACATGTTTTTGGTCTATTTGAGGTACCTTATACCATAACCATATCTGGAATTTAGGGGCACAATATTGGCAATTATCTAGCTCATTAAATTAATTTCCCAACGGGCTCCTGGCCCTCAAAACTCGTGACCCCATGCCTTGAAAACTGAGACGTGAGCAATGATGTTTCGGTGGCTGATGTAACATGTTAATACCGGCCAGATAACCCGAGCGCGGGGTATAATCTTACTGTATGTATATATACATATACATTATAGCATCGCAAGTCAAAGTTCTGCACTGCAGGACATGAATCCACCCTTTCATCCTGCCGTTAATTCTATATACACAAATGACGAACTCCTAAAATCCTGGGTTTCAATAACCTAAACCCTAGATACACCTTATAAACCCTACAACAGAAGCACCAAACACGCAACCTAGATCCCTGCTTGCAGGGTGGAGGGAAATTTGGGAAGCATACCTAGAACGCTTGTGGGCCGTGTCATAGCCCCTGTTATCCCCAACCTACTTACTAAGTCCCAGCAACCCTACCAGGTAGACCCTAAACCCCCTAAACCCTAAACCCTAAAACCCTTAACTCAGCCTCTGAAGGAGGTAGCCTGGAAGGTCCGCAGCACACTTCCGGATGCCTAGGTTCCATGGTCCTCTTAGTACCCTCCATTAGGTTTAGGGGGCCCCTGATAGTAGGTACTTTGATCTGAATAGAGGGAAGCTGGAAGGTCTGGGTTTTTCGTCTAAATTTAAGTTAAGCCTCGCGGTGTTTGCCTTTTGGTTTAGGTTGCTTGGCTCGCAAAGGTTCAGGGCACTTGGTTGTGGTTTCAAGTGTCGGGTTTAGTCTTTCTGGTCTTTGGTTGAGGTCTTAGAGATCTTGGTTTGAGGTTTGGGATCTTTGGCCGGAGCTCCATGGCGTAAGTTTAGGTGTTTGGTTGAAGGTAAAGGGTGGCTGGTGTAGCATTTAGGGTTTTGTTTTTGGTTCGGCAAGAGGGTGTTTGGGTTGGAGTTTAGGGTTCGTAGCGCTGGTCTTCAGTGAAGCGTTTAACTGCGACCCTTGAAGATTGAAGGGGCATACCCCAAGGGTCCAGGGACCCAAATAATAGGGTTTTGGGGCCAAAATACCATTAGCATTATGTCCACGAAAGACATGTGTGCTGCGCTTTGCTGGGATCACTTTCACGAGCCAAACAAGCAGAACTACGGTTTTCGGGTTAGCGGTTTTGGTTTACAAGTTCTTAATGCATGGCGCACCGTATTCCTGACTTTATGAGGTCCACCATGAAATTATGTTTGCACGAGTCTGCACGAGCATTCAAGATTCTGTATACGATCTTTGCAGGTTCCATGTAGAGCACCTTAACATTTTTTCATTCACTCACAATGATTCTCGCATCTCTTGACGTGGGTGGTCTACTTCTCTGTTGCCTAGATAAGTCAAACCAATCCCCTCTGTATCTGAAGCTACCCTCAGCAAACTCCAGATTCTAAAAGAACCATGTTAGGAGATCGCCGACCGGTCCAACCCTAAATCTATCGAAGCAAACCCTCTTATGTGGGACCTCCACAGAAGTGACAGATGAATCCATGCAAACGACTGCGCATCCTTTTCTCTTGCCAGCCGCATAGTCGCTCTTCCGCGTGAACCGAGCTGTTGTGACACCCTCTTGCTTCACGTTCCCTGAGTACTCTCAGAGCCAATACCTCGAAAATGTTTCTCAGGATTCCCTCCTCCGTCCACAGAAATCGGCGTTGAATAGCATGCACGCCCAGGCTCAAATCATAAGCCCGCCCAGAAGCAACCTGGATTCAGCTTGGAATCAATAGAAAAAGCAGAGAAATGAACGAAATGTACTTGATTCCTCATTGGGATCCTATTGCGTAGTTGTATGTTCCTTGTTGGCTTTTCACATACTAATCAGCTCGGAAGCCAGATAGAGCCAAGCAGCCATTTCTCGCAGAGTCTTCTCCAATCTGGGCCAGTAACTTTTGAAGCCATAAATTTCCGCCTTGCCTCAGCGTATCGCTTGTGTCATGGTGTTGCAGCAAGATGAAGTTATGCTGTCATGAGAGCGATACAGGATGGTAGGAGTCTTCTTACTAGTTCCTTAGCAGAAACCCAGATTCACATCACTTCAGACCTCACAGCACCACGACCCGGCTGAGCTAAGTGGCTGTTAGTACGGAATGGCCCCCTATGTATAACAGTCCATGCATCCTCCCCAATCATATTCGAGTTTCCATTCCAGGGACCCCAAGCCCTAAATGGCAGTTTCCATGCTCTTCCCAAAGCCGTAAAATTTATCCTAAATCCTAATCATAATCTCTAAACCCTCAATCCTCAACCCTAAAACCTAAATCCTAAACCATCAACCCTACAAACAGTGAACCCGGACTACCACAGGCAAGCTAGCTACTCAGACCTCAGGAAGGACATTCTACCAAACAGGCCTGAAGGACGTATAAGGATATGTAATGTTTTCATGGGAACATATCAAAAAGTTGCGTAAAAGGCTTATACAGGTTCTACATTTCTATAGACAGGGTCTATATAAGGTATATACTTAGTGTTTGTATACCTGATATACTAGGAAGACTTATATAGGGGAATGCAAAGGAAAGTGAAACTACCATGATTTCGGGTTAAGGGTTAAGGGATATTACCTTGAGGCTTAAGCTCTAAGGAGTGGTATCTGTGCAATTTTCTACAGTGTTGCAGAATTATTGGTCATGCATGGACCCCCAATCTAGGTGGAACAATGGCATGGTCACAGAAAAGCATTGTTCTGCCTGGTTAGTGTGGGTACCCCCCCAAACGAAATTGAGTCCCTCATTAATGGAACGGGGTGGGGGTCCATCCCCCCAAACGAATCTGGATCCTAGGTTTGAACTGAACTGGAAATGCAATAGGGGGGATCAGGATCGGCGCGGTAATAGACCAGAAGTGTTTCGGAAGGCATTCAGACAGGTTTGAGGAGTTCAGAGACTTTCAGTTTTCAGAAAGGTTTCAGAAGGTTTCGAGAAGAATTCCAGAGATTCAGAGGGCTTTCAGAAGCTCGGTGTAAACCCGCAGCAGCACAACGGATCCTAATCTAAGTTCCCCAGAGCAGCTTGCTGGATTAGGACCCTAAACTACATACATCCTGCCTGCCATGCTTTTGAAAGCAAGTAAGGCTTGTTTTTGGCTATTGACTGGCCGCGCAACTTCGCACAATTAAGGGCCCCCAAAACGAATCAGGGCGTGCTGAATGATTTCGGCGAAGCTTCGCACAACTAAGGCCCCCCAGAGTAATCGGGATCAAACACTACTTTGGAGGCTCAGGTGAGCTGTAGTCTGAACTCCTAGTAGCCCCCTAACCGTTATAAAGCTGCCCTGTATCATGCCCTATACAGCCCCCTAAAAGGAGTTTAATCTATAGCTAAGGTAATGGTCAACAAGTTGCTGACTAGCTTGAAGTTCAGGCTGAAGTTGGACCAGTCGATGACTTCGCTGAACGGAAACTCCTTCACAGATATTAGGGGTTAGGGTTTAGGGGCTTCGGAACCCTCATGAGCCCGCTCTGCTTTTCTTGTTCGGAGATGGCTAGAAGCTATACGGTCATTTTCCTGTTTGGGTTTCGCATAGAATCAAAAGTTGACCTTATGCCCAACGGTGATCCACATCTTACAGGGGGGATGCTCATGACTAGTGGTCCCATCTTGGGAGACTGCAAATAAGGGGGATCGTGGATAATAAGTGGATTCTGGTAAGCTGAACCCACCAAATACGAATCCTAAACTAAGTTTAGACCCTTTAACTATTCCTGGGGCTGACGGCATTGTCGGATGCTTCAGTGGTGGAAGAAACAAAGTGCTATCAGCCGACCCCAAAACCCTAAACCCCTACACCCTAAACCCCTAAACCGCTAAACCCTGAACCCTAAACCAGTGTTCAGGCTTAGCATGCAACCCAAAACTCTGTCGTAACGACAAAAAGACTCAGCCCCAAAAAACCTAAACCCTTTCATCTAAGGGGGGACTACAAATTCTGGTGTGTGGGACGGCCACCTGCCCGCAACAGCCCAAAATTGCGACTTCCGGCCCCTAGTATCGGCCCTTAATCCTGGGATCGTTGTATTTCTCGTCTACACCACAACACCTTCTGGACCCCATTAACCCTAAACCCTCAACCCTGAACCCTAAATCTTAACCCTGACCCTGCTAGCTAGGACCTAAGATGAAGGAGAGTGCCCGGCTTCAAGAAGCCTGAGTTAAAGCGTTTAAAGCTGAACCTGCCTGTAGGGCTTAGGGTTTAGGTTTATAGTCCGCCTTAAGTAGATAGAATATGGGGTATATGGGGATCTTACCATAGTATACCCAAAGCCATATTCTATCTACTTAAAGGGGTACTATAAGGTTTAGGGAGGCTGGAAGCTGCCTGAGTTTCGGATTTAGGGTTGGAGGCGAAAGGTTCAGTTATATTAGGGATGTATAGGGTTATATTAGGGTTATATGGGGGTTATATTAGGGATATATGGGTTATATAGGGGGTACATAGGGGTTATATTTGGGATTTTAAGGTTTAGGGGCAAACAAACCCTGAGCCCCAAAGCCCAGGATCAGTTCCCATGCAATGCAGTAATAGTCCGTTCAAAGCCCCTTAGTAAGCCCTGATGTATTGACGATCCTGTCTTCATGGATCGGTAGAGCGGGAGGTGGCGGTTAACCAAACCTAGATCCTAAATTCTAATCCTCGATGCAAGAAAAGCCCTACCTAAACCCCAAAAAGTATGTTTAATAATAGCCCTAAACCCCTAAACATAACCCAAAAGGCCATTATTCCACATACTTTGGGGGTCCAGGTAAGATCTACAGTTAAAACTCTGACGCAAACCCAGCACTGACCATCTAGCATCCTAAGCTCGATCTGAACTCAAGGGTTTGGGGCATTTTTATTTACCCCAGTAACCCCATCATAACAAGCGCTCTTTCCTGCTGTTTAGCTTTAATCAGGAGACCCCAATATAAAAAGGGAAACAAGGGTATTACGGGGTACTTAGAGATCATGGAGCAAAATCCTGAAGCCTAGACCCCAAAGAGCCTCTTCTCGGGTCACAGGGTCCTGAAGGCCGAAACCCCAAACCCTTAAGTTTAGGAAGTATGAGATAAGGTCCTAAACTCCCCACCCTAATAACCAAACCTCAAGTAGGGAGCCCTATAGCCTGAACTACGAATCACCTCTTTCTCCCAGGAAATTCAGCGACTGTAGAAGCCTAAGAAATTACCGATCTCATGGTCCTGGATTCCTTGTGTACTTTTGGCATGGGGTATCTCGAGCAAACCTCGAGGTAACATCGGTCATCATCTAGGCCCCCACACTGGGTCCAAGAAGGCCTTGAGGTTTAGGGTTTAGGGTTCAGATCAGGACCCCTAAGCCCTATACCCTAAGAGGGCCCTCTATTTGTGCTGGCCTAATCTCCCATCGCCCTGAACCCGAAGCCCTTTCCCTGAACCCTAGGTAGACCCTAAACTTTATGCATTATAACAGTCACAAAACTCTAAACCCTAAACCCCTATGTAGACCTTGCTCCTGCGCAAATGGGGTGCTGTCCGGAAAGTCCAGCATCTTAGAATTCAAAAGTCCAGGCTTGCGCAAAGAGTTGGAGCAGCTTTGGAACCCAAAACCCTACACAGCCCTTATATCCCCCTTTAAAGGTACCCCTAGAGTTTAGGATTGGGGAATTGGGTTTTCAGGATGCGGGCTTTTGAGATTCGGGACGAACGGCTTCCAAACCAAGAGTGTAAGGTAGAGAAGCCCGCGGTATTGATGAATCCAAACCTCTCCTAAGCCCGATGGTTTAAGGTTTAAAGTTGAGTGTTCAGGGTTTATCTACTATGTATCATCTGAGGTCATTTTTTGCACGGTGCCCTATACCATTGTTTTACAAGACACTTAACTTAGGACTACACCCTCAACTAACCAAATCCAAAGCCCCTCGGGCCCTGGTTTCCGGCAGGTCTACAGCCCTCGCAACAGTGGATTTGTTTTTGACCCCTGGCTCCGGGTTTAGGGTCCAGGGGTCAGGGTTTACCTCACAGCTAGAATCTAGGGCAGAAAGACCTAGAAAAGTGTCTAAGGGTGTAGGAAGCCGCAAAACTGAAAGCTAAATTCGGGAGCCTGGTAAATACATAAACCATCCCAAACGTAAACTCTAAACCTATATAATTCTATATAACCCTAAATAATCCAATATATCCCTCTACATATATATCCCTATTTACCCCTATGGCAACCTTGGAGGATGGCCCCACGCTCTGAACTGTCTAGTATGCAAACCCTACCCTAGGGATCCAAGTATACAAGGTTTAGGGTTTTTGTTAAACAACCCTGGCACAGAAAAGGGTTTAGGGGTAGGGTTTAGGGTATACAAATAATGGACAACCAAAGGGAAAATGAAATGGGACATGACATGAAAACTGGGGTTGCACATGGGTTAGGTTTAGGCTTCAGGAGTTTAGGGATGCAAGTATACAACTAATACCTACATTGGGCCCTAAAGTCTGCAAAAAATACCTCCATGTGGCTACTGGATAACCCTAGACCCTAAAACCCCACTCCCTAAATTGCTAAACCCTAAACCCTCTAAACCCCCCTACACCCCTAAACCCTAAACCCCTGCATCCCGTAAGCTCCCCACAGCAACCACGAAGGCTTAGCCCTAAATCTGGGTTTAGGGTGTAGGGTTTAGGGATGTTGAGGAGCCTCACTTAAGCTACCATAATTAAAAAGGAGTGTGTATAAAATCATATGATCATAGGGCTTCTTGACTAAAGTAACTTGCTTGGAGTTCCTTGACAGCGAAGTGATATGAAAATAGGGTTTTCTCATCATAGTAACTTAAGCCAACTTCCTTAACAGCAACCTAGTCAACCCTAAAATCTAAGTGCCTGGGCTCCGAAACCTAAAGCGCTCGAGCCTAAAAGCCTCAATCCCCGACCCTTCTTAGGGCTTAGGGTTTAAAGTTTAGGGGTTTAGAGTTTAGGATTTGGGATTTACGTTTAGGGTTTGGGTTGGTTTTTAAGGGTTGGGGTTTAGGGTCTTGGCTTTCGGGTTTAGGGTTTTGGGTTTAAGATACAGCTACGGAAACCAAAGTCCCACAACTCAGACGGGAATTTCCAACACTGGGCGTTCCCCTTGTATGTCCCAGAATGCTACAGTCCTCATGTTGGAGACGCCGAAAACGATCCCCAATCAGTGGAAACCCTGAACCTTCAACACAAACCCAATCTCTACACCCAAGCCCCTAAACCCTTCTAAATACCTCTCTGCATAAATCCTGAAGCTTCTTTATATTGGGATGTTCTTGAAACTCGCTAAACCCTATCACCAACCCCTGAACTCTACATCCTAGACCCTATACCCCAAACCCTCGACCCTAAATCCAACCCTAAACCCTAAATCCTAAACCCCTAAGCGCTGGCCCACCTAAAAGGGATCAGCGTCCACTGGAATGCTTCCCACGGCGACAGTCTGCTCACGTGTGCTCCGGGCCAAGCCATCGCCAGGCGGCAGGATGTTGAAGATGGTAAAGCCTGGGGTTCGGCGTGAAGGTTTCAGGGTCTTGTTACGAGCACAAGGGTCTCATGCGGTTTGGGGTATGTCTTGGACGATTGTATGGGCGGTAGAGTATATATTGGGTAGCCATTCCCCTATTCCGTATAAACTCCCAACAAGCAAATCACACAGAGGGACCCACAACCGCTTTCAAGCTGCATCGCAGCAGGTGGCGAACTCTTGCGTTCCATCCCGTAGGGTACCCTAAGCCCAACTGGACCGTAAACCTCAACCTTCAATCCCAAAAGCTCAGGAGCATAGAAGCTTGAGTGCTTACCTAGATGATTCCCCAAGAACCTCATCCAGAAAACTGGGGGCTTCCATTTTGTAGACCCCTACATCGCAATAGCAGGGTTTGGGATATAAGCATGGACGCATTGTCCATATCATTGTCCCGTTTCTTTTCAAAATATATGGGCCAACACTCTTTGCCGAACATCGGACCAGGTACCAATGAGCCTCCGAGCAGCCTGGACATAGTCCTCTACTGGGACTATCAGGCAGGAAGCTCCGGCTTTAGGGTTGAAGAGATAGGGTTTAGAGTTTAGGGCTAGTTCCGTTTTGGAAATAATAGGAATCATGATTGTGATGAGAATCACAAGTTGTGCATGTTCCGTACTGGGTTTTGATAGAACAAAGATTGCGAGTCCTGTACCTGCTGGTGCTTAAGCGGAAGTGGGGGAGTGAATCCAAGGTTGAGGGTTTAGGGTTTAGTGTTTAGGGTTTGCTACAGTCAATGTTTCCTTTAGGGCCCCAATAATGGAGAGTCACATGGACAAGGCAATGGACAATGAAACGGAAACTGGGAATATGTAGGGGGTTATAGGGTTCATTTTTCCTGCATAACTTGCTGGACATGGATTCCTTCTCGGGAGTGTATTAAAGACTTTACTAATCCAAAAGAGGGACCCCTGTGTCCACTATTAGTGTCCCTTATTAAGGCTAATGACTAATGTTCACAGTAGCTCACATGATCTCCCATGATGCTGCCTCTATTTCCTGGCACGCCTTCTCCAGTAATGTAGACCCCTGATTAGTAAACTCCGTCCTTTTAAGGGCCTTGATATTAGGATCCCTATTATAATCCCTGTTAAGGGGAGGGGGTTTAGTAATCATCGGTCTACATCAAGCAGCAGTAAATTTACAGTGGACAGCATAGGGGGGAGGGTTTATGCCTGCTGTCTATGAGAAGAACGGGTTTGAGGACTTGCCTCGAATCCAGAAGCTCTAGTCCTGCTTAAGTAGATAGAATGGGGCTTTGGGGTATCTTAGAACAAGATCCCAATATAACCCATATTCTATCTACTTAAGGGGGACTATAGCCTTCGGGAAGGCTCTGGGGTGCTCAGGGTTCACCCTAGGCCCAGCAGTCTGAGTAGTTGAAAGAATTCTCCCCTTCTGAGAGTCTTCCTTTCTGGGATAAGTTGCCTTTAAACATGTATTACCTACTGGCATTTCGCGTGAGAGAATGAAGGTATGCTCGTGTTAGCGTCCCTGCCTTAAGATGCGTTTGCAGCAAGCTCCCAGAATCTCAGATCGTCCCCAATTGCCTGGTGCACATATATGAGCTACCGTCTAAACTCCTAGCATCCCCCTTAATAACCGCTATAATAGTCCCCTATATAACCCTCTATATAACCCCCTTTAAAGGAGTTTGGACTATGGCTCATATAGTGTAGGAGACAAGTACGGAAGTGAAAGTCGGTAATAACTGCGCTTATCGTATTCATGTCCCCGCCTCTGCTTCCCATTAACCCGCAAGTACACGGTTGGCAGTGCATATTGTTATAGTACGGGTTTCAATAACATAATTAAGGCTTATCGGGATGCCTGGGGAGCACTCAGAGGTTTGTGCAGGGTGTGGGGCACTGAGCCTTGTGGTGGGTACACGGGCCAGGCGACCCTGAAGCCAAAATTGATGCGCAATTTGCGGTAGAAGGGTTTGAGCTGTGGCCCGTGGGAGTTCACGGTAGTTCCCTTTAAGCCAAGCGGATCCCTATAAACCCCTGAACCTGACACCCAAACCCTCCACCCCAAACCGCAGGCACGGCCATGGGAAGAATGGCCATTGGCAGCAGTGGTGCAGGTCTGGGTGGGACATTCAACGTAGAAATCAGGGTTTAGGGGCACTGTGATTTGGTAATTTCCATAAATGGCAAGAAAACATATGGGAACTTCTATCACGGAGAAAAAATTGGAAGAGAAAATGTGACATGAAAACAGCGCAATGGAGGTATTATATGGAGATATATGGTAGTCTTTTCATACATAGGGGATCGCGACGTAGACCCCACCTTTTCATTGTTATTCTTCCTGTTGATTCTCCGTTCGCGCGGTAATTTCCCCAATATCGCTCAAGTATTTTTCAAAACCCGGCTTTGAATCTTGATGACATGTTCGGAAGGCTGGAAATTGCGGAAGGAAGCAGCGCAACCCGCGCAACCTTGCTTGGCTATGTGACTCGTGCGCTCGCTGACACACCCGTGAAGTTCTTGAAGGCCCTAAACCCTAAACCCCTAAACCCTATAAATATCTTGAATGGCGGTAGCCGAATTCCCTACCTAGTTTCACTAAATAGGGGGACCCTCCGTAAGTCTCGGTCTGAGGTTTAGGATTTACAGTAGGGCAAGGGCTGCCGGTTTGGTTTAGGGTCCTGGTCTACAAGGGCTTCACTTGAGCTTAGAGTTTAGGCTGAACCTCCTCCTAACTTTTAAAGGTTCCCAAAATCATTTATGGATAGATTCCCTTTTACAACAACAGCAGAGGAAATCATGATCCATCCCAAGCTGTTACCCAGTAAATATCTCCCTGACGAACATGAAGGTAGTATTGGCGGTAGTAATTAATCATCAGGGGTTTGGGGACTGGGTCCGTCCTCCGTGTCGCTAGCATTTTGAAGCCGTGCTCGGTGGAACATAGCCACATGACAGTCAGGTCCACAGCGGACCATGCCCTGTACCTGGTAGAGGAGCTTTAATACTTCGGCTTTAAGGTGTTTTCCGGGTGGGGTTAGGGTCTAGCTTTTTAGGAGTTCGCGTTCCAGGAATACAGTTAGGGTTTAGGGTCTGGCTCCACAGCTTGTAAGCCCTGGTAAAAACAAGTGACAACCGAACTCGGAGTCCATAGGCTTATCAGATTATCCTAGTTGTATAATTGTTTAGGCCCTGACAGACGGACGACCCCACATTCTGGGATAGTATGTCGGGACCTAGACATCTTAAATAGAACTTTTTTGTGCATACTGCCTTAAGGCTTGGTGTAAGGGAACTAGTATTGGGTATTGTATGCGGGCTTTTGTACAGATCCATTTCTCTGCCGCTTACAGATCACCGGTAAGTAGTGCAGGCGTCTAGGTGGTTTCAGGGATGCTATGAGCATATCTTGAAGTAAATCCATTGCAGTTTCAAAATGCATGCAAATTGTCATTCTGGGTCTCGTTGTGACCCTGCTTTGTAAGTCATATGCCGTAATCCTGCAATCTTAACTTCCAAAGCAACCCCAACAAAATTCATAAATCTTGCCCGTTTAGGGTTGATGTCGCTTGACGGCCAAATCACAAAATCAAAATCAAAAGTCCTTGCAAGCTGTCCAAACTCCACCAACCTGCACCTTTCTGCCGAGCATGCCATGTGAGCTATAGTTTTAACTCATTAAACGGGGGATCTATAGGGAAATATATGGGGGAGTATTCTAGGGCTTATTAAGGGGGATACTAGGGGTTTAGATTATGGCTCATGTGGCATAACAGCATTACATTGTGCGATGAACCCTGTGCATCCTTGTTAAAACACGATTCACTGCAGCCTACCCAGACTCCAACCCCCAAACCTAAATAAACCCCAACTCCTAAACGCCCACCTAGGCACCAAGCCCCTAAAACACTGTGCCCCACGCCCAAAAACCAACAGCCTTTGCCACACCCTTATCCCCCAACCCCCAGACCCTCAACCCCCAGACCCTAAACCCTAAACCTTACTCCCGAGGTCCCAAAAACCTCGATCTCCTCAAGCCCTATACTTGATGGTGGTCAGTAGAGAATGAGGGAAAATGACTCCCATGTAATCCCAATATAACGTATTCCCTTGTTTCATGCTAGTCCCCAGTAAGTATACACCTTAACTGGATGTCCAGCCACAGTTCTCCAGCGAATTCTGTTGGCGGCCAGCAAGTACTGGTCTCGGGTGCCATTGCCTAGGCCCCATGCAAACCGCAAAACCGTTAAATCCTCGCAAAAAAAGAGCGTCCCAAGGAGTTTGGGTTCCTGGGTCAGTTCAGGGGTTCGGTCGGTTCAGGGGTTGGGTCCTGAGTTCGGTCTTGAGTTAGGGTTTTCAGGTTTCTTGGGGTTATTGAGTGGCTTTCTTGGTAGCTCCGACCCTCGAAACAAGGACCCTGTCACCTTCATGCAAATTCTACGTAAGCTCCTGATGTTCCTTTTGCGGATTTCCTTCCTCTGGGACAGCCTCGCTAGCTGGGTCCCCGGCTGCTCATTCTGACAGCTGGGGTGGCCAAAGCTGGGCTGCCGTTCAAGAACTTGCAGTAGGTTACCACTGTAATATATGCATCCTATAGTGACTTAATGTACGCGCTCCTTAACAACAACGAAAAATCAACTTCATCATATTCCGGGCCGCCGTGCATTCCTAAACGCTTTCAACTTTAGCTATTTGTTGCGTGCAACCAAAGACCCTAAACTTAACTTACAGTAATACGGTGGATACTAAATATCCTGCATGACCCAAAGTACCATATACCTTGGGAATTAAAGTACTATAGTATATTAAGGTCACGCAAGATTTTTAGTATGAACAGTAAGGGCCTATCTCAACTAAAACAGGGCTTAACGGCATATCCGTGGCTGACAAGCCTCAAGGCGCCTTTGAAACCCCCTCACCCTGCCCTCTGCGGTGAGGGGTCTCTGAAGGCCGGCCCATGAGCAGTGAGATCTCATGAGATTGAAAGGGGTTTGAGAGCTGAGGCGGGGGTGAGGATGTGGGGGGAAGGTCTTTTTGGGCTTTCCCCGCTGTTTTCCTGAATGTCAGGTGTGGTCGCGCATATCCCAATTCTGAGAGTTTCGCCATCCCAAAAAAGCACCTTTTCTTCCGGTCCTCTCGGACCACGCAAAGTCCGTCGTGGATCTTGCATGGACACATCTGTCAATACGAAGCACTCAAAGTATTTCCAGACCTCCGTTACCACCTTGAGATGTACTTGGCGCACTGTAGCCCCCATATGCAGGACAAGCTTCTTACTGAGGGGTTAGTAGTAGGGAATACGAGAATATGTTTGTTATTATGGGGATTATATAGGGATTGCATTCCCTTGTTTCCCACTGACAACCAGAAAGACTTGCAGGACGTTCCAGCGCCTCTTTCCTTCCAGGCACATGAGTGACGGTTAAGTGAGCCTTATATCAGGGCAAAATGGTACAAAACAGAATAATAATCAAAGAAACTTCTCTGCGGTCTGCAGCCTAATAGCCGAGGCGCGCGATAATGAATTAAAAGGGTATTACATTTGTAACTGACAGGGCTTCCAAACTTACAAGTTCCCGATTGACCGATTGACATACTCGTTGTTAGCTGAGGCTTCCCTAACTAGTTCAAGATACCGCTTTTCAGAATATCAGCCTTTGGAAGTGCCCCTAAACCGAAGGCCCTCCTACAGTCCCCAAAAAGGAACTACCAGTATGAAACCATTCCAAAGCACCCATTCCTCAGATAAATGCATGGCACCACTACGGCCCAGTATGTTCTTCGTCCGTTTGCCCTGAACCCTAAACCCCTACTCCCTAAACCCCAAAAATGTAAACCACCTCTGCATGGATGGCCAGGGTTGGCTAGGCACTTCAAACCGCACAACCGCACTCTGAAGACCTGAAACGTAACTGCGGTCTAGGCTTAAGGTATCAGGGTTTAGGGTTCAGGGGTTAGGGTTTAGGGTTGAGGGTTTGGACGGATACGGTTTAGGGGTTTAGCGTTTTTTGGGTTAGGGTTTAGGGTTTGGAGAGAGGGGGCTTAGTAGGTCTTAGTAGATGTACTTAGAACCGACAGAAGCCATGTCATAGCCCGAGCCATCCCCAGCATTATGCGACCTACTGACTAAGTCCGCGAACACTTCAAGTAGCTCCAACCCTAAACCCTAAACCCTAAAACCCTAAACCCTAAACCCTAAAACCCTAAACCCTAAACGACGTGGTAAGCAATCCAGTGGCCAGTCGAGGGCTGGTGGACGCTTGCAGATCCAATGAAGTTGGCAAGTATTTCCCTGCCGTGCTTGAAACTTAGGGTAGACCCATGATTAATAAACCCCTCCTTTCACAATATTAATCCTTACTATAATCCCTGTTAGGGGGAGGGGGTTTATTAATCACGGGTCTGGGTTAGGGGTAGAGTTCAGGGTTCGGTTCAAAACGAGGTTTGGAGTCTCGAATTTATGGTGTAAGGTATAGGGCTCAAGGAGCCATCAGATCAGTTCTGAGATCATGCGATAGTTGTAAGCAGGGAGCATGACAAGGACAGATTAGCAAAATTCTTACTTATTGCTTAGGAGGACCCCCCACCCTGTAATAGCGGTATAACAAGAATATAAGAGGACCCCTATATAACCCCTATTATCCCTTATAGTCACTATTACTGGGTGGGGGTTCCACCTAACTTACTCCTGAGGCCTCTGAGCCCTAAACCCTAAGCCCTGAATTCTAAGCCCTAAGCCCTACACCCGAAGCCCTTACACCCCAATCTGAGAAGCCTCAGTGGTTTACAATGGGGGGGTTCATATAAGGGGTAGATGAGGCGTAACCCTAAAACCGAAACCATCAAATCTTAATCCCTAAACCTAGGGTAGGAGACATAAGTGGTATAGAAGTACCACGGGGAAAGATATAAGGGGCATATACAGGCATACATGTTGGGCAGGTGTCCTAGGGACCCTGAGATTTGGACGTTCCCTCCTTTCGCTTGGCGGGTAGAAGCCTAGGTCAAAGTCGTGCTCGGGGCAAAACCTGCAAAGTGTTCAGGGTTTAGGGGCGACCCTTCGGCCTGAAAAAAGACACAAAAAGTTCAGAAACATACTGTCACGAAGCACAAGATCTCATACATCCTAAACCCTGAACCGTGAAATAACACACTCGCTACCGTCCCCATCATAAGACTACTAACCCCAGCTCACACGTGGGCCGAATGCTGGAGTCCGTAGTGAGTTGACATAGGGTATGTTTAGGATTGGGGGTTTAGGGTTTGGGGTTGAGAGTTTGGGATTCAGGATTTAGGGCTTGGGGTTTAGGATTCGGGGTTCAGGGTTTAGGGTTTAAATTGCCAATCAAGAGAACCCAACATCTCTATTTAAATGAGCCTTGATTGCTTGCGCGTCCATGCGGACCTATGTGGTTGGTAATGAACCATTTTATTAAAGCTGAACCCTGAAGCCCAACTCCCAAACCCTATAAACATAGAAATGCAGAGATATCTTGCGAGGAGCCATGGAACATTGATGTAGCTGTAGCGATTCATGGTTGCAGCGTTGGCGTGAAGACACAGCTCCACAGCACCGGCATCCCACAGTTCTTGGAGCAAACCCTTGTAGTAGCAATACCTGACCCAAAGGGTCCATGTAGGTATATAGTATATACTTGGGCCCTAAGGAGGTGCATGGAAATGCCTTTGAGCTCTAAGTATATGCTATATACATACATGGCCCCTCTGGGTGAATTGGGTGAAGGACTGGAGTGTACAGCGTGGCGCGCAGAGTCCGTAGGACCTTTGAGGCATTAGGGGGCTTAGGTTGCTTTGTGGAGGACGTTCTGTAAGGGTGCAAGAACCTTACAGCATGCACCTCAGTAGATCCTGCTTGCAACTAAGCCACAAGAACTCATGTACCCTGGTACTACCACTTGGACACTGGAAGTTTAACAAGAACATACTAATGCAAAGCTAGAGCCACCTTTTCACACACTTCAGACCCATACTCCCATAAAGACTCTCGCTCCGCTCATGGTCAGAGTCATGTCAGCCTTACATACAAATGTCCCTTTGTGTATGTATGTAAGTAAGTATGTATGAACGTATGTATGTATGTAGGTATGTAGGTTTGTAGGTATGTAGGTATGTAGGTATGTAGGTATAGGTATGTAGGTATGTAGGTATGTAGGTATGTAGGTATGTAGGTATGTAGGTATGTAGGTATGTAGGTAGGTAGGTAGGTATGTATGTATGTATGCATGCATGCATGCATGCATGCATGCATGTATATTCTATTCACACCAATTCACAAGCTAGCCAAGAAGCTCAGAAGGCATCAAATGCCTGTGCCTTAGGGTATCCCAATATGGTCCAACTGCGCGCATGCTGGCAACAGCTTCTTTAGCCGCAAGCTCGCAAGCCTCGACAAAATGTCAAGTTCGGGGGAGTTGACAGAAGGCATGGGTCAAGGGCTTATGGAGTTCAGGGCAAATTGAGTTTGAGTGAGATTTATAGAGTTTCGGGTTTTGGGCCGAGCGTATAGGGTTTCATTAGGGATGTAATTAAAATGCTGCATGAGCCTAAGTACCCTCAACCAAGGAACTACTGGTGCGATAATATATAAAGGTCATGCAGGTCTTCTTGGTATCAACAGTATCCTAACCCCCCACCTCCTGCTCTGGGTCCTAACCCAAAGGGTCCATGTAGGTATATAATACATACTTAGGGCACACAAGGGATCCCCTATACCTACTTCCGGGTCCAAGTATATACTATATACCTACACAGACCCTTAGGGTAAGAGTCGAGCTGGATTCGAGGATTACCAGATAAGTAGTGGTCGCTGGTGATTCTATATACATATGGGCCATAGTCTAATATCCTAGTATCCCCCTAGTAACTCCTATAATAGTCCCCTATATAATCCCTTATATCACCCCCTTTAGTTTGGACTATAGCTCATATTGAGTATGAGGGTATGTAAGGATTATGCAACCCTGGGACTCCAGGGCTTCTATATGGGAAGCTGTCAAAATCATGACTTTCTCTATTCCCTATATGGGGGTTTCCCAAANNCTTATTTTGGGAAACTAGCATATAACGCGGTGTAGTTCAGGGGTTTAGGGTTTAGGGTTTACTATATAACGCGGCTTAGGGTTTAGGATATAACGCGTGCCCCAGAAAAGGCACCAACATATTGACAACCTTCCATATGCACGTAGAAGTATTGAATTTACTATACTCCCCCAAACTAACATGGAAACCCAAATAGCCCCTTTTTAAAGGGACTGTAGTCTTTATAGGGCCCCCTAAACCCTAAATTCTAAGGGTCTAGGTTCTCCTCGTGAAGGCCTCCAGTGTCTCGTCGCGAGTCTTCACAAGCGGATCGGGCAGCACACAGTTGACCTACGTACTTGGACGAATGGGGTTAGTTTAGAGTGGCTTGTAGGGGTACATGCCTCTACAGACTGGGTTTTGGTTTAAGCGGTTTTGGAGAATCAGATCAAAGAAAACCATAAACACTGGCGGGAGTACAGGGAAATGTATAGGGCTTTTATCTTGCTGGTTCTTACCCTGAACCTAAACCCTGAACCCTTACTCGGGAATCAGGGCATGGAAGAAAAAAGGAATCTACGAACCACGGTTTAGGCATTAGGGCTCAGGGAATGCACAAGAACATGGAAACTACCACATGATTGGGAAACATGATTTAGGGTTAAGGGTTTACATATCCATTCCTCCACTCTCTACTAACAGCCTTTAAGACTTTGAAAATGTTCGAGGGTCAACACTTGCAAGCCTTGGGTACATTGGGTTGAGAGTGTAGGGGCCTAGATAACCCCCAACAATGGAGAACCAAATGAAAAAGTCAACTGACAGTCAAATGAAAACTCTATTCCGCTTCCAGCACAACAGCACAAAAAAATCAAAGCGCACCTACCAGGTCTGTAGGTTCACTCCTTCAATGGGCACGTAGAAGAAGTCGGCATCAAGTGGATCGCGGACCCGCCGGGGACTCTTCCGCATCAGATTTGCGAGGGCTGCCTCGAAATACCTTCTAACTTGCTTTTTATGGCCTGACACTTACCCGGACCCCTTGGGGGATCTTACAAATTAGATCCCCTGTATAGACCCAGAATAACCCCTGTATGATTCCTAGATAATTTCTCCATATGGTTCTGGAGGATCTAAGTTCTAGATCCTTTTGGGGCTCTGGGTAGCGAACTGGCTTTTCCCACGCTCGTAACCCTGCCATTCCTAGCGCTCGAAAATTTCCCAGTCTACACTTACAAAAGTGCGCAGAAACCGTTACCAAGCCAAATCCCCGAACAGAATTTAGATTCTGCAAAAACCTTGCGATATCTTCTTTGGCATGACTAAATGTACCCCTACACCTTGAGAGGACCTAAACTTACCCGGAATCCATATCCCTAACGCCTGGACCCCAAACCCTATGCATCCCTGTAATGTAGGGTCACTCGATGAGAATCGGATTCTGGGGTACACTATGCCATACTGCTGACAAAGAGGAGAACGCCGGTAATTATTCAGGTTTCTGCAGCAATGAGAATACTTGAACTCTAAACCCTCAACCCTAAACCCCTAAACCCTAAATCCTAGACCTTAACGCCCAGCTACATGTCCCGGAGCGAGAGCCAAGAATCCTGCTGAGAGGAGCCAAAGTTGTCAGTAAGAATTTTGGGAGCTTCCAGCTCATAGACGTAAACCTTCAGAGTAGGCGCCAGCCTCCTTGCATCCGAAATGGTTAGGGTTTGGGGTTTAGGGATTAGGGTTTGGGGTTGGTTTAGGGTTCAGGGTTTGGGGTTTAGGGTAAACTTCTAGAGTAGGTGCCAGCTTCGTTGCATCCGAAATGGGGGCTTGCAGTTAGGGTTTAGGGTATGTTTTAGGACGGCACCCCCCCGTAATATCAGAGGACCCTAATACAATCCGTATTCTCCCTGCTGCACTATCACAGGTTGGGGGTCCAGCTACCCTAAACCCTAAACCCTCAACTCTAAACCCTAAACCCTGTGTAGTCAGTATGAAGGGTGTGGGCTTAGGGATTAAGGTTTGCGGCTCAGGGTTTGGTAGGCGTGGGGTCATGCAAGTAACGGGGCGTTAAAAGGGGCCTGTGTGGTGATTTATGAAGAGATTATGGAGGGCAGGTACCCCGCTGAGGATTGCACAGAGTACGCTCAAGTTCTCCCAAATGAATAGGCTGTCAGAGTGCTTTTGGACTCCCCCTTAGGAGCTGCACCCCTAAACCCTAAGGGGGATAGGTGATTTGAGCAAGACAATTCCGAATTCACGATGCTCTCGAACATTCTTTCCCACAATGAACGATCTAGTTCGTAAAGCTGTGCACAAGGTCGAGGATGAGTGCTCTCGTTGAAATCTCTGCATAACACAGAAGAAATACCCTCACCATCCCCTTCTTATTCGTCTATATGGTAGTTTCCCTAACTAGGGAATCCCAATATAGACCCCCCAAATACTATAGCCCTTATTATAGGGACCCCCAAAAAGGTACCTCTAATTTTGGGAAACCCCATATATCGCACAAGGAGGCCAAAGGGCAGTCCTTTTTGATTATATGGGGATAATGGGAAAGAAAAGGGGAGCTACTATTAATATTGGGGTTATATAGGGATAATGCAGAAGAAAATGGAAACTACTATGAGAGACGTTTGCAAATATGTTAGAAGTTGACGTTACTGAAGCCTAAATTCTGAAATACGCCGCAGCAATTGGCTGCTTGTCCTTCCACATGCTCCCCAGATTATAGAAGTCCTCACCAAAAAACTGAAAAACCATGATCTTGTGCCTTAGCCTTGTTCCTCAGCTCTCAAACACAATCCTGAACCGCGTCCTGACGTACCCCTATGTGAACCTTATAACTCTAAAGCCTAAACCCTACACCCTAAAACTTGTACCCCAGGCAGAGCTTCTGTGCGGCACCAAGCAAAGGCGACAAACCCAGCGCTCCAACCATGGGCCAAGGTGAATTGTGTCGCAACAGTTTAAGGACTAGGGTTTAGGCCAACCTCTAAGGGATTTGGAACCCCAGTAGAAATTATAATTTCAGCTAAATATGATTCTAGGTAACAGAAATTAAAAACTATTTTCAGGAACCTTGTAGTTTAAGGTCTAGGGTTGAGGCCAACAGCTGAGTCTCTTTACCAGTGAAGGGTTTGTAGCCGGATGTGCATAGAATACTTCCATTTCATCTTCCATGTATATTTCAATTTTGTTCGAAAAACCACTGAACCCTAAAACAAAAACACTAAACCCTAAATCCAAAAACCCTAAACCCTAAATCCTGTGGGAATATTTGCCAGGGTTCAGGACCTAAACTGGCCTTTTGTTTTTGACAATACCATCCCTGGGTTGCCCAGTAACCCCTACAAAGGGTTGAGGGTATGGGGTTTAGGGTTTAGGGTACAGGGTTTAGGGTTTGGGGTATCTAGGTTCTCCGGTAACCCCCATTATCATCCAATACTGGAGAATCAAATGGAAAATAGAATGGAACATGAAATGGAAACTGGGACTTATATAGGGCTATATAGGGTTTACGGCTTAGGGTTCAGGGTTTAGGGTATGGTTCGGGGTATCTAGGTTCTCCAGTAACCAATTAATGAGAAGGGTACGCCCTTTTTTCCTGATGTTCGGCTTTACTAAGAAAGCCCCCAAAAAAAGGGGAACGGGGTACTACTGGGGTACCTAGATGCATTAGATAGACACCCCACCCTGTAATAGCGACATAACAGGAATACAAGACGACCCTACTATGGTCAAAATTCTCCCCTATAGTGACTATTACTAGGTAGGGAGTCCGCCAAAAGAATCCACATGTAAGTTCAATTTGCGCAGGTTACGGCTGCGGGGCCCTGGCACAGGTTGAGGTTGGCGGAGCTCAAAGAGGTCGTAGGAAAACAGAATGGGTGTGAAGGTGCGTTGTTGGACCTATGCCCAGATGTCAACACATGAGCTGAGAGTGAAAGCATTGGTCCCAAGATGCCGTAGATGTCAGATGTCTTGTGTCTGGTGTGTTCGGAAGGCTGCTTGTGCAATGCCCTGCAGATCCATCCCTGAGCGTTGTCTGCGCATATTCCGTGACAAACTACACGGACCATGCAAGCTCAATTTGTCATATCTACTACTAATTCGTAGTTTCATGCTCCTCCAAATCACGTACGACAATGCTCCTACATAAAGCAGCTCGGCAGGGATCTGATGCAGCAAGATAAGCTGCATCCTAAACCTGAACATTCTCACCCCCACAGAATCACCCAGAGAGATGCACCCCATCTCGATTTGGACCTTATGGCCTCAAAACCGTAAACCCTTGCCGCTCAACTCCTTGGCAGCTAGGAATGTCTGTGCA